AGATTATAGTAAAAGTTATTAACAAAATATGTAAGTTATTTATAAAATTTAAAATAAAAGAAATATGACGATTTTTACAAATCAATTTGGTACTTACATAAAAAATAAAAACAACTAGCATGTAATAAAAACTATATGAACTAGTATGTTGAAGAGAATATAAATGACATATTTCATATTTAAATTGATATTTTAAAGAGAGAAATAAATATATTATTTTTTTTAATGAGATATTACAGTGCAAGACATATAACTAAAAAAAATATTTTACTGTATATATAAAAATCACTATATTTATTACAATTTAAATAAGAATTTATACTTTAATTATATAAATAAAAAAAATTAAACGTGTATAAAAAAATCAGTATATAACGAGTATAGATAATCCACCATGACTAGGCTCAATTGAATCTAAAAGTCAAAAACTGAGAAACTTTAATTGCATGTATGTAATGTTATCAAAAATTTTAAATATGTGGGCGTAATAGGTCCTTCCAAAATTTAGAGAGCCATAATTTTTTTTTTGGCCATAAGTGATATTTCCGCTAAAGCTTTTTCCAAGAACGAATTTGAGTCTTAAGGAGGAGTCCTAAGGTTTTTCTATGTTACTATAATATATTTCTTAGTTAAGAAAAATTGAAATTAGACCCTAAATTATAGTCAAATTAAGGTTTTTCTATGTTACTATAATATATTTCTTAGTTAAGAAAAATTGAAATTAGACCCTAAATTATAGTCAAATTAATACATGAAAACTTCTATTTTTAAAAACTAATTATGATATCCATAACTTATTTGATTATGAATTAGGGACCAATTTATTTTTTTAGGTCATAGATATTTTTGGTTTAAATTAAGCTATGATTAAATGTATCAATCATTTTTTGTGTAAAAAAAGTAAAACGCTTAAAATTATGTGATGTAGTAGTTGATTAAGTGGTTTGTTCGGCAAAATTAAATGTTTTGCTAGTTGTCATTTGTTTTAATAGCATTTAACTGTGTTAGTTATTCGAGTAGCTTTTTATTAAATGTTAAAAGCTAAGTTTACATGAGTTAACTTTTTATAAAATGCTACTTTTTAACTTCTAAAAGTTAATTTAAACGTTATGTTATCAAACGCCCTAACTTTAGCGTTTTCCACTAAAAAATAATCAAAATGCCCGACACAGCTTAATGTACTTTTAGTTGATGGAGAGTTGATGAACAACAGGAAGAATAATTTTGGTTTCAAAAACTTTTAGTTGCTTTTGATAGAAAATTGATTTTTTTTCACTGTAGTGGATAAATTTTTATTTTTTTGACTAGTTTTTATTTTTAAAATTTCTTTTTGTTTATTATTCTTATTGGATTATTTACAAATTTAATTGAGTTTGATTTAATTATTATATGGAACTAAACTCTCATACTTAATTTCTTTGTGGGATTTTCTTGCTTTTGTTCATTATTCTTGCTTAATTTCTTTTTATTCTCTTTTATTTCCTTCAATTGAAATTTCTAGATTATTTACTTCTTATTATCGGTTAACACAATTAGTATTTAGTAAACAATCATTGCGGGAACGATACACTACTCATTCTTTATTACTTGTTTGCGAATTTTTACACTTGCGAAAAATCCATTCGCATCTCTTTTTTCATTTTAAGCATCCTTATTCTCTATCATTATTATTTTCATTATATGAGTCAATTTTAATCTCCACCTACATACAAGTTACATTTTTTATACTGTCCATTTTATTTTTTTTAAATAATCATTAAAGCATTTACTTAAGCAGTTCGGCAACAACTTATAATTTTAATGTTTTGACTGATTAAAATGATAAACGTTGTTTTTTATGGTGCTCTGTGATACAATATTAAAAGTAACTTTTAAAGGTTAAAGTAACGTTTTATAAAAGGTTAATTTTATAATATTTAATTTTTTAAATTTTATAAAAGCTATTTAAACAGTTATTAACTATTCAAATAAATAAATAGTATTAAAATAATAAAAATTACTAAAATAATTAATTTTATGAAACAGGCCTATAAATAAAAAACAAGATTGGATTAAAATATCAAGTCCGCCCATTTATTCGTTTTAAATGTTTAATTGATAGACTGAAATGCTTGCACCCCTTTCGCGGTAATTGTTTGACAGTGTCAAGTCAACAAATATAGAAAACGATGCATCGGACACATGAAAAATGTTGAAGTTTGGTATAATGTGGGACCCACATTTGAGGAAATTATTAGGAGTAGGAACAAAGTTAGCATCATTGAAAGTGGACAAATGAAGGCTGTTGAAGTTTCAAAGGGCGAACATGGGCCCACTTTTATTTAATTAAATTTTGTCGAGACTAACCGTTAGTTCAGCTAACGAAAGATGAAACCTTTGAATATTTTTGCGGGTGTTCCAAACTTTCTCCTACGCTTCTCAGAAATTTATTTTAAGAGAATAAAAACATATTTATTTATATGAAAAAATATATAAACAAATATATATTATCTCCATTTTATAATATTTATTATATTTAAAAAAATAGATTATTTTAAATGCTTATCACATTTATAGTTTCAAAAAGTAATAAATTTATTTTTTTCTTGTTTACCCTTTATGACCAATAATTATTACTTCAATTTAATAGTTTTTTTATAGAATTAGTATTGAATTAAGGGTGATATAGTCAATTTATTCAATAATTTATTATAACTTATTAAATTTAATGATTTTCTTAAGAAATATGAAATTCCAAATATGCAAGTATTATGAAAAAGAAATAATATTAGATATGGTCAAAATTTTTAATAAAAATAAAATAAACAATTATAAGATAATAAAAATATTTGATTTAAATAATAAGTTTCTATAGAAAAAAACATTTCGTGTATTAAAACTACATGAAGTGATAATTTACCATAACTTTGAAAGATATTAATTTTAATTATATAGTATTTAAGTCGTTTGATAATTTTATTTAAATATTATTAAAAGAATTATTTCTTTAATTTTTAAAATTTTAAATTAGTCGTTATTGAAATTTTATTTAAATATTTTATTAAAGAGAATTATTTCCTTATAATTTTATTTAAATATTATTAAAAGAATTATTTCTTTAATTTTTAAAATTTTAAAATACTATTTTTAAATATTTACTAAAACAAATGAAAATATAAAAATACGTCATAGACTATAATTATTGACGTGGACCCGAGGTAAGGTAAATAGGAGGTAATGGACGTAGAAAAGGGCTGTGTGGGTTATTATTATAACTTGAAGTAGATTAAGTAAATTTACGTAAGGTTACAAGTTATTGAAATTAATACAAACGGCAGAGTCAGATGAGCATTGCAAGTATTATTTTAATATAACGTCATATTTTCATTTCAAATTCTTTCAATCTCAAAATAAAAGTCATTCTAAAGTGATTATTTTGTCAAAAAATATAAATTATTTTAAATATTTTAACGCGTAATAAATTATATTTTTTTAAATATTAAACAAATGAAAGTCGGAGTGACAGAATTTTTAAGTCACATACTTTTGACTTTACTATATTTTATTATAATTTAACTAGTAAAGTATTTCAAAAATAAAAAAGTGACAAATAAAAATTATTTTAGTATATATTATTCAAACTGAGGGACGAAATCAGGATTAGAAAGAATACGAATAGGGTAAATTATAAAGCATAGAAATTAAGGGGAAAGTGATTTGAATGTTATAAAAACAACCAATAAAAACAATGTTCCAACTTTGAATCTTTATGGCAACTTTAGCCTTTTTTTTTTTTCTTTTGAAGGGATGAATGGAACATCAATTGTAGTAGTTGGTTGCCCACCTAAGACTGTGCGGGACAAGTCATCGTTCTTAAATTTTAAAATAATCCAGCTTTTAATTTTATAATTATTAGAACCAGAATCCGGTCCAATCCTTACCCAAAAAGTTGACGTTAATCCAATCAGAAAGCAAGTCCTTAATCCCAAAAAGTTGACGTTAATCCAATCAAGAAAAATTTTTTTAAATCCACGTCAGCAAGTTAGGTTTATCTCCCTCCTCCCTCCTTTTTTCCTTTCTTCACTTACTCTGCTCTCTCTCTCTCTCGTCTCTCTCTCTAATAGCAAAAATGAATTAAAGGAAACAAAACAATCAAACGAAAACAAGATGTGGCAGAACTTTGGCTTAGATTTTTGTGAAATGAATCCATCTTAATCAAAAAAAATACAGAAAATAAAGAGAAAAAAAATTTTAATAATTTGAATTACAAATTATCGATAAAAGAAAAAAGAAACATAAAGGCCATTGAAAAGCAAGCACAACGGACGAGAAACCAGAAATGAAAAATTTGTAACAGCACAGCCATGTAGGGGTGTCCATGGTTCCGTTACAAAACTGACGCTGTTGATTCTAAAATCAACGGTTTCGACATTAGACACACAAGCAGAGTGAACACTTCTTTTCGCTAATGACGTTCAATACTGAAAATCTTTATGCTAAAAACTCTGAGTTTTGCAGTGTTCTTTTGAAAGTTTGTTACGACAGAAATCAAGAATTCAATGGCTTCGTGAAGGGGATGCAAACACAAAATTCTTTCATGATATTATAAATAGATGGAATGTTAAAAATCATATAGGAGACATTAAATTTGAAGGCAGATGGCTATCTGAGGTTAACAAGGTTAGAAATGCATTAGTTCAATATTTCTCTTCGATTTACTCTAATGATCCTATGCCTCGCCCTTTTTTGGCTAGCAATGTTGTTAAGCTCTTATCAGATGAAGAGAGTAAAATGTTAGAGGCCACATTCTTAGAGGAGGAAATAAAAGAAGCATTATGGAGTTGTGCATCTTCTAAAGCTCCAGGACCAGATGGTTACACTATGGATTTTTTCAAGAAGTCTTGGGATATTATTAAAGGAGATTTGGTAAAATTTTTCTCAGAGATCTATTGATTTGAGTTCTAGAGTGATTTAGGTTCGATTTGAGAGTGATTGTAAGGTTCGATTTGAGCTCGGTTTGGTCAAATTTGCCCTATCATTTCTTCATCGAGAAGAATATTGCTTGGCTTGAGATCACAATGAATGATTGGTTTTTCTGCACAATGATGATGTAGATAATCAAGTGCACAAGCTACATCAATGGCGATATTTAATCTTTGCAGAATGTTTAAGCTCCTTGATGCTACATTTATCTCATCTGCACCAACAACTGGATGCAACCACTCCTCTAGACTTCCATTAGCCATGAACTGATAAACTAAAGCCTTAAAATCATTGCCATGATAATCAACACTGGAGCAAACAGTTAGCACCTTTACAAGGTTTCGGTGTCTGATGTTTCTTAAAGTTTCACACTCTGCTAAGAAACTTTCTAAAGCTCCACGGTCCATAAGGTTAAACACCTTGATAGCTATTAAACTTTCTTCCATGTCAAGTGTTCCCTTATAAACAGACCCAAAACCACCCATCCCAATCAAATTAGCTGCAGAAAATTTATTAGTAGCTTTATACAGAGTGCCATAAGATAGTTCTAACATTTTCTCCCCTGAGAAGTTCAAAGTGGATGATTCTTCTGCCTAAACTTGGAAACACAAAGAGGCAGAATAAACAAAACCAATATGACTCCCCAAAGGGTAGATATGATGATAGCAACCAAAAATTTCAATCTAAGACCCAATCCACTCTTCTTAGGCAGTATGGTTACACATGTAGGCAAATAGAGTTCAGGCGTGCCCCCGCAAATTTTATTGTTTCCTTCAATTGAAGTAACACTCATATTCCTAAAGACACCTTTACTAGGCACAACACCCTCAAAATTATTGTAAGACAAGTTCAAATATAGCAACAAGAGAAGGCGTGCCAAAAATTCTGGAACTTCACCTGTCAAATTGTTATGAGATAAATCTAAAAATTGTAGAGCTTTTAAGTTACTCAAAGATGCAGGTATGTGCCCTTGAAAAACGTTTCCTCTCATGTCTAGTGCTTCTATACTTGAACAACTGCCAAGAGTGCTTGGAATCTCTCCTGATAACTTGTTCCCAGAAACAGAAAATCTGCCCAGGCTTTTTAGGTTTCCAACTTCCATGGGTAAGGTTCCAGTCAAATTGTTTTCAGATAGATCTTCCATGGGTAAGGTTCCAGTCAAATTGTTTTCAGATAGATCGAGATGGATTGATAATGAAGAGAGACTTAGAAGCTGTGGGGGTATAGAACCGCTGAGATTGTTTTGAGAAAGGTCCAAATAAGCCATGTATTTGAAAGTTCCAAGAGTTGCAGGGATTTTACCCACAAAATTATTTGCCCTTGCATAGAGCTTAACTAATTTTGTTAAGTTTCCTAAAGAGGGTGGAAGGTGCCCACAGAACTTGTTTATTTCAAAGCCTAATTCCCCTAGATTTTGAAGCCTTCCCATATCGTACGGAATGACACCTGAAAGTTGGTTGACTGAAACATCAAAATGCGTTGGTTGACTGAAACATCAAAATGCTGCAAGTTAACAAGATTCCCTATTCTGGGGCTTGGTAATGGTTCCTAGTAAGCCGATTTTGAGCAACTGAACAACATTTTGGATTTTGAGCTACTGACAACATTTTGAGCTCTGTTGAAAAATTGCTTATAGTTTCAGGTAAAATACCTCCGAAGTTATTATCATTTATGGCCAACAGTTCTAATGAAGTGATGTTGGTCAAAGAGTAGAGAAAGCTCAAGTCATCGGCTTCGCCACCAGTTCCTAGATGGTTTCTAGTAAGGGATAATGACTTGAGTTTCGACAACTTTTCAAGAGAAGGCACAGTTCCAGTAAGTTTGTTTACAGGCATTTCAAGCTCCACTAGGTTTGAGGCATTGGACAATGAAGAAGGAAATTTTCCAGTGAAGCTGTTATTAGCAACAACAAAGTATTTTATGCTTGGAAAAGAAATGCTTAAATCCGAAGGGAAATTGCCTTCAAATTGGTTTTCAGAAATGTCTAAAGTGACAACGGAAGATAGATTGAAGAAAGAGAGAGGAATGCTACCTGAAAGCCTATTTGTACGAAAACTCAAGAAAAAAAGCTTCTGCAGCTGTCCTATAGTCTCAGGTACTTTTCCAACCAACTTATTGTCGGCTAGCGATAAAGCATCCAAGTTTGATAAGTTCCCAATAGAATAAGGAATATTTCCTGTTAGTTTGTTGTAGTTTGTTTGTAAAAACTTGAGAGAATTGTAGCTTGGACAACTTCCAATATCCATAGAGATATCACCTTTCTATCGTTGAAGACCAAGGTCAAACGTCCTATAAGACTGGAGCAGTTGATGATAGTGGTCAGATTCTCACCACATTGGAATTGTTCTCCCACATATTGAATTGTTGGTCAATAAGAGTTTCTCTAAACTTTTCAAATGGGTGATTTCTTGTGGGATTTCATCGCTGAAATAATTGTTTCGAAGGTTTAATTCCTTTAGAAAGCTCAAGTTGCCAATGGAAGGTGATATAGAGCCTGCAAGGTTTAGGGAATTCAGCTTCAACACAGCAACCCTCCCTTGCCTAGCATTGCAGGTGACACCATGCCATTGACAGAAGTGGATGGTGTCATTCCATGAACTCATAACGCTTAAAGGGTCATGGGTTATTTTGGCTTTGAATTCGAGCAAGGCATGAAAGTCACTCGTATTGCTACTGCCAATAGAATAGATGATTGAGCCAGAAAATATGAGAATGACAACGGTAGCATAAGTGGAGAAAGAAACGGATAAATTCATGTTGGAATTTGATGCGAGTATATCGAGAGAGAAGATCACATATATATATATATAATTTAAGAACTAAAGAAAGACCAGGTGACGGGATGATTTTTTTTACTAAAGAAAGACCAATAAACATGATTCTTTTTCCACTGTTTGGAACAAGACCGGGCAGCATGAAAAAGTTCCTGGAGTTTTGGTAATGATTTTTTAGTGTCTTTTAGGATGGAAGGTTCTATCAACTGCTTCATTTCCTTCCCAAATTATTATTATTTGATAAAGTAGCGCACTAATGGATAATTTATTCAACATTTCATATAGTAACCAATTAAATCAAGCAAAACAAGAATTAACTTCTTTGGATACAAATTCGAGACAATTTTTTTAAATAAAATATTGTAACAATTATAAATTTTAATTAATTCTCAATAAATTTTTATATTATAATTACTATCTAAATTCTTTTTTTTTTTTCCGGAAAGGGGCATGTGTTAATTGTTTATTTCAAGAATAGGCTAAATATAAGATTTATAAATAAAAACAATTGTTAAAAAGAATAAAAAAACCAAATTTAATATTAAATAAAAAAGCAATTAATTACCGTAAAAATTGACAATAGTTGTAAGTTGTAATTGGAAATACATATATAGATTTTCAATTTTTTCATTATTGAAATAATAAATATCTAATAATAATAATAATAATAATAAATTACAGATTCTGAATAAAGTACATAAATATGAACGTCCATTGCACATTTGTAATCGTTAACTTTTATTCGTTGCAAGTATATATGTAATTTAATTTTTATATATAATTTAATATATATATATAATTATTTTATATTAATTTTTTATAAATTATAATATTATGAATAACCTTAAAAAAGTAAAAAAAAAATATTTTATGAAATAATAAATTAATAAAATAATAAAATTTCTTAAAGCGAGGATTAGATTGACTTAACTTATTACATTTATATATTATAGATAGATAGCTAGTATAATAATTATTATATTAATGATTATTTTAGAGCAACGTTTAAAATAAAGATTTCTCTAACTACTGATATGAGAAATCCTTCACATTCATCTTCCTACAAGAAATATAAATAAAAGTTATGCTATTAATTTGTAAAATAAAGAGAGTTAAAATATAAAATCAATATATAACTAACGATACATATAACACTAAATGGTAGAGATTATGATATCAATTCATACAATGACCTTATACTCATTGCAATAAGAAGATCTTAATAATTCCAATATTAGCAAAAGCTTGGTATAATAATTCTTGATAGTTAAAAATAATAAATTTTTGATAGTCAAAAGCAATCAAAACTAAACATATATATAGTGATATGATAGGATAAATTTTTAATTAAAATAATATTAAAAGATAAATTTCTAATTAGAATGAAATTAAATTTATAATATTAGTATAATAAAATAATAAATTGATATCATAAGGTCTCAAACTGAATTGATAATCGTAATCATTTTGGCTATAATGACAATATTACTTATCCAGTGCATTTGAGAAAGCAATATATGAACATACATATAAATACTTGAAACCTAAAAAGTGAGTCAAAATAGAAATATATAGTTCTAGTTTTTTTTTTCCAGTTTTCTAAACACTGTTTTATTTCAAGTCAAACAAATTTAGGAGATATGAAAAAAAAAATTAAGAAAATAAAAGATATTTAATCATCAAGATACCATCAATTCATTGCCAGTGAGATATAAATCTCTAACTAAATTAAAATGATAATAGTTATAAATTATTCATTAACAAAAAGGAAATAAAAATAAAAAATTATTATTAAGAATAAATTCTTTTTAGAACTCACTTAATAAAAAAAGAAGTTTCATTATATATATATATATGAGCAACAAAATATAAATTATTCCACAAAATATAAATTATTCCAACAAAAAGTCCTATTAATAAATGAGCAACAAAAAGACGCGTGTTCTATGACTAAAGACCTATGACTATAGACTATTAGGCTTTAATTAAATGAGCAAGAAACTTTAGACTTATATAAAACTTAAAAATTAAAGACTAAGACTTTGAAAATAAAAATGATAAAGACTTGAAGACTTTAAAAACAAAGACTTTACTTATCTTTTTATTGTTTATTCGTATATAGACCTTATGTTTTATAAACAAAAACTTAAATTGTAAAGACTTATGCTTTTAATCCTGTATAAAGACATTTAAAACTTATTTTAAATAAATTCATATATATGTAGAGCCTAAGATTATTACTAGGATAAAATAAATTACAATACAAACATTAAAAAAGAATTAAATCATAACTTGAACTAAAAATACTATGATAATTGGTTTATATGAATACTTATTATATTCATTAAGCGGTAATAATCTTTACTTCAGAACTCAACATACAATATACACAACATTTCTGATGTGGAAGATCAGATAAGCTGCATCCACAGAGCATACTATATAACAAATTTAACAATTAACCATAAAGGTTAGACGGTATCCTGCCCAACTTAACTGGGATCCCAGAATTAATCAGGAGTGCATGGAGGAAAGAGACAAGGTTGCCGTAAACACGGACTTATTTCGTAGCCAGTTTACTATCTAAAGCATCACAACAACTTTATTTATTTATAACAATATAAAATACAAGATTTAAATGATAAGCTCAACTAGGGGTTAAAACTTACAATTGAACTTTCGAAACTTACATCCTTACAATAAAACAGTGGATGGAAGGAGGATCGTAATCAGTGTAAGGCTTTTATCTAACTCTAAGCTTATGCCTTCACAAAGGGAGGGCTCCTATTAATACAAGATATGGAATCTTTTACTATGCGTGTACCAGTACTTGTATCTCCATCATTGGCTTTTACTTGGATAACAGTGGTTGTCGAAGATGTCGACCACTTACCTTGCTTTTTACGTTGAAGTGCTCTTTACGAAGGTATCGAGGAGAGATGAGAAAGAGTACGATGAGCTTGTCTGCTTTTTCTTTTTTCCGACTTTTCTCTTTTACTTGTTTTTTCTTCTTTTCCTTCTGCTTTAACTTTGCTTTAGCTTTAGCTTTTTGACTTGCTTTGCTTTTAATTTTAATGGCGGATTGAATACTTTCTCCATCATCATCATTCTCCGTGGATGAGTTAGAATCTGACGAGGAAGAGACTGACACCCAATTTATCTTTTGTTTACCTTTACCACTGGTTTTGGAAGATTTACTGGAAGAAGATGCACCAAGTGCTTTACTGGAGGATGGTTTTACCATGGGATTCGAATCAGTTGATAGCTGTTCGAACATTTCTTGACAAATAAGTTTCAGGATTTAGCTGCTGCTAACGGCATTGGCTGGGCCTTTGGATCCCATTGTGGTTTTTCTGCGAATAGCAAATGCTAGCATAGGTTAAAGCAGTTTAATGGAATTGGACAATTTATTTTTTCTGGTAAAGCAAGTGTTTTAGCATAAGTCAAATTTTTAAGGGATGTTGAGCCGGCCTTTTTACTAGTGATCCATTGACTGATTTTAAGTTGGGTAGTGGAGTTTTTGAATGATCCCCACCATTTTATCTTGTGACGTTTTACTATCATTGGTATTTGAGTACCAGGAACATACTGATAGTCAAAAAACCATTGGTATACCCATAGTGTGAAGAAGGTCATACTATAGTACATTAAAGATGGTATATGAGCTTCTTCAGGGGTAGGTTTATAATTGGTTTTAAAATAATGGTATAAAGAAAGGATTTCTGGGGTGATAATATCATCAGAAATACCTCTTGATTGCCACCAGTTTTTAAACCAATTGGGAATCTTTAAATCAGTACGAATGTTCTGGTCAAAATAAATTAACCAAGAATGACTGGTAGTAGGGTTTTGTATGCAAAAACCTTTTCCCATGCTTCTTTATAATCAAAATAATTATAAGTAGGATTATACTTAGAAAGAGTTTTAAATCTAACAGGAGTATACAAAGAAGATACGGGCCAATCCTTAGGATGGATGACGCGTTTTATTTGAAAAGATGAATATAAAATAATAGTTTTATTTTTAGTATCAAATGTATGTTTGATTTTTACTGAACCAGTATCAATTAAAATACTATGGTAGTATTCCTGAGGTTTTGATGGGTCCGTTGGGACAAAATACCAATTCTGAGGATAATAAGTATTTATTATTTGCCAAGGGTTGATATTAGAATATCCATCTTCAACTTCAATTTCATAATCATATACATTTTTTACAAACCATTTATGTATACTAGAAGTAAATGATAATTGGCTTTTTGGCAAAGCCACAGCCTTTAAGGTGAGCGTTAGATTCCTCTTTAGGTTTTTCTTATCCTTTCTCTTTATCTTTCCTTCGAACCCATTGGTGCCTGTAGATTCGTGGTTTAGAAAAGTTCCGGAATATTATCTTTTTTGAGTACCAGAGGAATAAATTCAATATCAAAAATCAAAAACACTTAATATGCCTTGCCATCTTGCAAAATTGTGTTTAGAGGGCAAGATTTTTTAACCATCTTTTTGTAAACATCTTTAGCAGATTTACAATCAATACGTAATTAAAATTTTTGATATTAAAAGATCAGACTGAAATTTATTTATACATATTACTATAACTCAAAATTCTTTTTTAATAGTGGAAGTAGTTTTTAAGTTGCGCTTTGGGTTTCCAATGGCTGAAGTGTATTGGGATTATACGTTCTTATATCAGTTGTTGCTTTAAAAATACTACCATATCCCTATATCCGAAAATCGTTTTCAACAAGTTTTAAATGCTTATAGGATTAGGAATATATAAATAGGGAATTTCTTTGACTAAAGATTTTATTTGTTTAACTAATTGGGTATGCTTATCCTGTCCAAGGCTAGCATTTTTTTTTAATGCTATAATGCAGAGGTTTTATGTTACATTTAAAGTTTGGAATAAAAATCTAAATTACATAAGTTTAAAATCAAGAAATCTTTGTAATTGGAGTTTTTTAAGAAATTTCATCTGGAAATTTTTTCTCAATACAAGGTCTTTCTATGGTTT